GAGGGAGGGTGGGCGGAGGGGAGAGGGATGTAGAGAGGGAGGGAGGAGGGGAGAGACAGGAGAGAGAGGGTGCACTTCGCCACGACGGGCAAACCTACCTTTTGGGTACGTGTGAATGGACCTCTCCACCTCTTCCCACACAACACCGCTAAGAGAGAGAGAGAGAGGCAGTCTTCCCCCCACCCTCCACGCACCTCTCGATGCACATCACCGCTGGCAAATTCTAGTGCAGGTCCTCAACGGCCAACAAGTAGGGGCATACTGGAAATTGGGAGCGGTACAGGTAGGGGCATATTGAACATATTTCAGGCCCAAGTGACGCCAGGGGGTTTCTGGAAACGTGAGTTGTTGTCAGAGGGGCAAATCGCAAATAAACGGAAAATTCAGGGGCATTTTGCAAATTTTCCCAAAAAAAAAGCAAAAAAAGAAAGAAAAAAAAGTTGAACCATCCCCAGGACTGCTCCAAAAAAGGTATAAAAAAGAGTCCACAGATGATGCCTGGTTGCGAGGGAGTGAGTCATAAAGATGGGCCGCAGGCCTGCACACCTCCTAGACCAACCCATATCCCTCCATCGTCCTGCAAGTGACTTCGTCGTCTTGTAGGGAATGGTGGAACGAGCGGATGAGTGACGGCGGCTGGAGGCAGAAGCGAGCGACTCCCGCAGTTGAAGGATCATACACAGCTGACCTTGAGTGGAGCAGTGCAATAATCACTGAATTCGGAGCCGGGAGGCGATGGAAGAGTGGGATGAAGAAGATGTTGCTTGCCTTGAATGAATGGCTTGATCGGAATGAAGTTGGGAGGAATTGCATGACTTGCTGCGAGCTTGATATACTGTCGTTTATCAGTAGTCAATGGCTTGTTGAAATTGAGAGTCGATGTCGTACATCTGATGCTGAAGGCCTTCCGATGGTGTCACCCTCGACTGTTCATGCCGTTGTGAACTGTTTAAGTGGTTGCTTCCGGCTGTTAGGGAGAGAGGGGGAGAATGGTCCTTGTCAGAGTAGTGGAGTAAAATTGTTTAGGAGGTTTTATCGGGAGTATAGTTAAAAAAGGGGGGTAATAGAGGAATCCGCTCGCCCTATGTAGTGGGAGACGCTAAAGACGGTGATAAGGTATATTAGGAAGGAGGTGAAGGTAATGAAGGGGTATACAGAGGCACAGGTTAATCGTGATGGGGGTGCGTTCTTGTATTTGTGGGAGAGTTGGCAGAGATGCGGGGAGGGATTAAGGCTTCAGTACAGGGAGGTTGATCTTGAGCGGGGGGTAGTACGACTAGGATACACGAAAACTGATCGCCAAGGTGGGAGGTTCATGATAAGGTTGCGGGGCCAAAAAAATGAGGAGGAGACATTTTTGGGGTGGTTACCTGAGATGATAGCTAGCTACTAGTAGGTGGGGCAAGATTTACGGACAGGGTATTTGTTCCGGCCTGTGCGTGGCGATGGCCCAATGATTGGAGGGGGTTTCAATAAACGGATAGAGAAATGGTTTGGATTAGCAGGGGTGTATGAGGGGGAGAGTGGTCATAGCTTTCGAATAGAGGGGGTGCAAGCAGGAATTGAGGAGGGGTGGAGTCTGGGTGGGATGATGCGACAAGGTACATGGAGTCAGGTTGGGACGTTTATGCGATACGATTACGGGATGCGACGCGGGTGGAAGCGCAAAAGTGATGCGCAATTAGGGGAGGATAAGGATTAACGTCAAGCCAAAGATTGCAAGGTTAGTGACGAGACTACTAACTCTGGGGCTGGGGAGGCAGGAGACGGGGGAGGCGGGGATGGTGAAAAGATAGACAATGTTGAGGCTGAGGATGCGGGGGTACCAGGAAGCCCTGTCTGATGAGGGTAAGATGAGAAGATAAGGAGCGGGGTTGGTGTCGATTCTTGAGAGCACTTGATGAAGGAGGACTATGGGAGGGAAGATGTACCTATAAGGATGGGAAGGTAGGGAATTCTAATTTAAAGAAAGGGCATTGATTTGGGAGGTTTTTACCGACCAGTCCTTTGAGATGAAGATTGGGCATACATGGTGGTAATCAGAAGCAAAAAGGTCTATGGCTGGTACTCCCAACTCTGAGAAGATGGTTCTTTCGATATGATCTGCAAGTCCCCAATCCGTATTGTCTTCTGTCTTGGAGAGTGAGTCTGCTTCTGTATTGATCGTCCTTGGAATACAGATCGGGTAAAGGCTTGCATCGAAGGTGATAAGAAAAGAGGCAATATTTCTTAGCCATGGATTGAAATCCGAGTTAGGGGATTTCATTTTGGAGAGTAGAAATGCAGCGGCTTGACTGTCTGTGCGAAGTCTGATGGAGGCAGAGAACAAAAGAGTCGGGTGAGAAGAGGCTAGGAAGCAGAAAGTCTCGAGAATTGCGAATATTTCTCTGTTAGTGGAAGAGGATTGGAGCAAGTAGTGAGGAAGGCATTGGTTAAAGGAAAGGGATTTGGAGTTTACAGGGTGGATTATTGCTGCAATCTGGGATGTCGATGCATCTGTAAAGATAGTAAGGGATGGGGAACGGACAGTCCACAATCTTCCTGGAAGGTGGGGCAGGTGTTGAATCCACCAAAGAAGATCGTTGATAAGTTCTGATGATAAATGTGTAGGAGTGTCCCAGTCAAAAGAAAAATCTGCGTCATAAAAGGAAAAGAGGTATAGAAGGGTAGGAAGGAAGGCTCTTGAGAGCGAGGTAAGTTTTCCGGCAAGCTTAGCAATGGTTCTGCTAGAGTTGGTAGGGTTGGTATTATTAATTAGTTGAAGGATCTTTGCGAACTTATCTTCAGGAACCTTTATGCGCTTTTCATGAGCATCGATCTTAAAGCCAAGGAAATGGATAGTTTGGGAAGGAAGGAAGGAGCATTTCTTGAGGCTTAGGAAAAAAACAAGGTTATGCAGCAGGGCTGCATAATTGAAAGTTTGCCAGATAAGAGTCGGGAGGTCCTTATGCCTTAAGGCAGAGTCATCAATGTAAGAAACAATGTGGACATGGCGGAGACGGACTTCCGTCATTACTTCTTGCATTATTGTTGTAAAAATCAAACACGCGGATGAAATCCCAAAACAAAGGGTTGTAAAATGGTAAGTAACTCCATTCCATTGAAAAGCAATGTAGGGGCGGAAAAGAGGATGGACTGGAATATGGTAATAACCATTTTTAATGTTAAAACAGATGAGGAAGTCTTGAGTAGGAGATCCTGAGAGGTGAGCGGTCAAGTCGTCTATTGATTCATAGTGGAAATCTCGAAAGGTAATATAAAGATTAACAAATCTGACATCTAGAATGAATCGAGTTTTAGAAGAACTTTCAATTGCGAAGACCGGGTTGATGACGATGGGATTATGAGAGATCTCAATAACTCCAGAAGAGAGGAGCTGTGATACTGGTGAGGTAATGAATTGATGGTAGCGGAGGGGGGTTCATATGATTGGGTGTGTGGACAGGAGGGGTGATGCAGAGCACAAGGCTCTTTTGAAAGAAGAAGCAGGAAGAACTCGTTTTACCATTTTACGGACGTCAATGATTTTGGAAGATGGAATATGGGAAGTACCCTTGAAGTTTAATCGAACACCATGATGAATCCATTGAAGCATAAAGTGAGAAAATCTTCCGGAGCTAGATGAAAGTAGAAGGGACCAGTTAGAAAAATGACGAGAAGGGGAGGCTGCGAAAAAATCATCGGGATTGAGGAGCCAGACAGCGGGTTCTTGAAGGGCAAAAAAAGCGGTTCGGAGATCTTGCGGTGAGGGGAGGGAAGAAAGATTGTTGAGGATGACCGGAATAGAGGGAATAGTGAGGGCTGGGCAATGAAGGGGTTCAGACCAAGTTCTTGGGCGAGGAGT